CGTGGCAGCACACGTCCTCAAATACCCCTGAATGCTCATGTACATTGCTACAATCACGCCCCCTGCAAGACTACGGGTGTCCCTACACCAGATAGCTTGCGCGTGCTGCTGCCAAAACAGACATGAGGTAACAAGAAAGAGATACGACGCGAAGAGGGGAGCGATGCCTCTGAAGGCGCTTCCTCGGAGGGCTGAGGCGGGCTCTCTGAGGCACCTTCAATAGGGTTCCTGGGTGGCCCGACCCTTGTCCTTGCCTTTGTCGGCCCCTGGGGGCCCCGTCCCTGGGGTGGCCTGGCCTGGCTGGTCGGTCAAACTGCAGGCTGCCGCGGGCTCGGCGGCCGCTGCGGCTTCCTCCTTCTTAGTTTCCAGAGTGGCCGCTTGTGGCAGGTGGATGGTGCCTCCCGTGAGGTGCCCGAGGAGGGTCTGGATGTCGCCGCGCAGTGCAGCGGCGTCGGCGGTTGCCGTCTGTTGCTGGGTGACGACGGTGGCAAGCCCCCGTTCCAGCCCTGAAACGTGCTCCGTGAGTGTGGCCTGGGAGGAGAGAACGCCCGCAAGCTGCACCTGCATGTTATCCACCGTGTTGGCTAGCAGCTCGTGCTGCTGTTCCATGTGCTGGATGCGGGTCGTGGCAGCATCGGGCGGTTTAGAGGCCGATGCGAAGCGCTCGCCGAAGGTGTTGAGTTCGTGGGAGGCCACGCTGTATTCATCACCTGATGAGAGGATCTCGACGTCGACGACGTCACCTGGTACTTCGGCGGCTGTGGCAGCGTCGCCTTCGGTGTGGCCCCCACCTTCTGCCGCCGCCGTGCCAAGCCAGGGGTCGTGGCCACCTGGTCCTGGGGCGGCCGTCGGTTCAGCGGCTCCGTCCGTGCCGTGCGGGGGCGCAGAGGAGCTGCGGCCTGGGGCGCAGGGTGGCCTTGCGTGCGGCGTGGCGTCACGTTTCCCGCTGGAGGAGCGGTGGCGCTTGGCTGAAGGCTCCTCCTTGGGGGTCAGGAGCGGTGCGACGCCCTTGCCTTTGGGCGTGGCAGTCATGAGGTCGTGGAGGTAGGGGCTCTGGGCCGCTTTGGTGAGGAGTGTGCCGGTGGCGGGGCTAAAGCCGCCACCACCGGCTGGCGGCGTCACAGGCTCTGTGATGGTGGTAGGCGTGACGATGGTAACGTTGTCCCGCTTCGGCGCCACCTCAGCCAGCGGGGCCTCGGTGATGCTCCACGGGATGGGGCACCCCGCGACCTGCACCGTATAGGTGAGTGGGGGCCGATGAGCGCGCACTAAGGCAAACTGGGCCGCAGTGGCTGGGTCCCAGGCGGTGTGGTAGACCTCACAGTCCCATTTAACGGACGGGCCCGTGAGAGTCTTGGCGAGCTGGGTCAGCGTGGCGTGGCGTGCCGCAATGCCAGTGATGCGGTAGCGCGTCTTGGCGAGGGTAGCCTCGCAGCCGCGGATGCTGACAGCAGCGGCCTTGGCGACGTCGGACCCCCGCGGAACACGGATCCCCAGCAGGCCTGACTTGCCGTGCCTGACGACTCCCAGGGCCTTGAACTCCACCGACTTCTGGAACGCGTCTGCCATCGTGATGGGCTGGTCCTCAGGGAACCAAACGGTCTGATACTTGTCGGCGGTGGGCTCGTCTGCACCTACGTTGCTGAGGTCGTAGGTGGCACCGAGTTGCCCTGATCCCGCCAGGACCTTGTCGACCGCTTGGAGACTGACGCCGAAGGTGGCAGCCAGGGACCTCTTTCCGACGCCCGATCCAAACCTGCCTAGGCTTTTGCAGGGTTCGAGGATGGTGACGGCTTTAAAGTTGCCGTGGAAGAGGGCCTTGAAGGTGTCCTGGAGCTGGCTATCGAGCTCCTGGCGGCGAGCGTCTTTCTTGGACTCCTTGTGCTTTTGGCGCGCCTTGTCCTGTGGAGCGGAGTCGCCTCGAAAAGGGCCCTTGGCGCGTGGACCACCGTTCACGGGGGCACCTCCCGAGAACTGGTCCTCGAAGGCCTGGTGCATGGAGGGGACTGCGGCAATGGCCTCGGTCTCGTGTATGGTCGCCCGAATCCAGCAGACGTGGTCGGCGGGGTCGATGGTGGCGACGGCTACCTTTTCCGTGCAGGCGACCTCCTTGGTGCCCAGCTGGTACACGATCACGGGGACGTGCGTGTGGACCACTTTGGGCGCCTTGGGGTGGCGCTTCAGGACGGGGACGGCGAGCTCGGTACCGACGTAGTTGTCGTTTTTCGGGCCCATGACAGCAATCGCGAGCTGACCCGTGGCTCGCTTGCCCTGCCCGAGGTGGTGCTGCAGCAGCCGTTCACCACTCTCGTAGTCGTGGAGGCTGATGCTGGGCTTGTACGTCTTGCCGTCGTCAGGCGAGGTGGGTTCGGCAAGGACAGGGACCTTCCAAAAGGCAGGGTCCAAGGCGATGAATTGGGTGTCCGCAGCCTGAAGACGTGCGGAGCCCGTTGGTGGATGCGATGTGTCACCGCCAGTGCGCTTAGGCTTGCTGCGCTGGTGGTGATCGAGCGTGTAGCTAATCTGGTTGGCGGCGCACATGCGGATAAGGGCGCTGCCGAGCTTCTTCGTGTTGGACTTGTGCATGTCGTACATTGCCTGGAGCTCGTCCGCGTTCAGTTCGGCTAGCCCGTTATAGGCGGCCGTGGGGCGGTCAGACCCCGCTTGCCTGAACGCTGCGATGCAGTCCTGCTTGCGTTGAAGGAGGGACCCTTCAGCAGCAGGGCGCGTGGGGCGGGAGCTCGGAGGCTGCTTTGAAGAGCGACGGCGCTCCGGCTTCTTGGGGGCCATTGCTGCGGGCACTCTGGTGCGGAGAGGTGACGCGAATCAGTAGGGTCCTGCTGGGGCCCCTCCGGTCTCGCGAGGCCTGGGAGTCTGACTCCGAGGCGGGGCGCTTCGCGTCGCGGCTGCGGTCTGAGTGCAGAGCACTCTCGAGCCGAGACTAGAGAGAGAGAGAGAGAGAGAGAGAGAGAGAGAGAGAGAGAGAGAGAGAGAGAGAGAGAGAGAGAGAGAGAGAGAGAGAGAGAGAGAGAGAGAGAGAGAGAGAGAGAGAGAGAGAGAGAGAGAGAGAGGGGGAGAGATAGAGAGAGAGAGAGAGAGACGGACCCCTCAGCCGCGCCGATGCGGCCACCGCCGCTGCTGCACTATAGGCGGCGCCGCCGCCACAGCCAGTGGCAACCGCCGAGGAGCGCGCTGAAATCGGGGGCCAGCGGCCTGGCAACCACGGCAACAGCGCAGCCACGGCGGCAACGACGACGACCGCCGACCGACGTCCGACGACCCCCCGACGACCTCCGCCGCCTCCGCTCCTCCCTCTCCCCTTGTACGCCTCCGTCTTTTGGCGCTGCCCACAATTAAAGCGGCCTGCGGAGCTCACCGCCGAAGGCGGCGCTCTGCAGGCGGACCGCCGCCTTCCGGCTGCCGCAAGGGCCCCGTGCGCGGGTGCCGGTCCCTCCGGGGAGCCCTTGCGGCCGTGGCAGCCCGGGAGAGAGAGAGAGAGAGAGAGAGAGAGAGCAGAGAGAGAGAGAGAGAGAGCGGGAGAGAGCGAGGGAGAGCGAGAGAGAGCGAGAGAGAGCGAGTGAGAGCGAGTGAGAGCGAGAGAGAGAGAGAGAGAGCGAGAGAGAGCGACAGAGAGCGAGAGAGACCAAGAGAGAGCGAGAGAGAGAAGAGAGAGAGAGAGAGATATAGAGAGAGAAAGAGAGAGAGAGAGAGAGAGAGAGAGAGAGAGAGAGAGAGAGAGAGAGAGAGAGAGAGAGAAGAGAAGAGAAGAGAAGAGAAGAGAAGAGAAGAGAAGAGAAGAGAAGAGAAGAGAAGAGAAGAGAGAGAGCGAGAGAGAGAGAGAGGGAGAGTGAGAGAGAGAGGAGAGAGCAGAGAGAGAATAGAGAGAAGAGAGAGAGGAGAGAGAGAGAGAGAGAGCAGAGATAGAGGCAGAGAGAGAGAGGCACAGAGAGAGGCAGAGAGAGAGAGAGAGAGGCAGAGAGAGAGAGGCAGAGAGAGAGCAGAGAGAGAGAGAGAGGCAGGGAAAGAGAGGCAGAGACAGAGAGAGGGCAGAGAGAGAGAGAGAGACAGAGAGAGCAGAGAGAGCAGAGAGAGGCAGCTCAGTCACACTTAAATCCAGATTCGTCCTCACCGAGTCCCACCACCAAGGGAGCGCCAGCAAGGAGATGCACATATGGGGATCCCCACGCAGTGAATAATTCATGTTTTTACGTACTTGGCACGGGGGGGGAAGTAGTACACGCCGGTCGTTGAGAGTTTGCATGTTTCTGGATTCCCAGATCCCACTTTATTTTAGGCTCCTTCCTACTTCAAGCTGGCAGCGGAGGGCGTCGAGCGCCCGGGTCTTGTGCTCCGGGGCCTGGTGCTGGGGGGGGGGGTGCGGCGGGCTGAAGGGAGGAGGCTCGAGGAGGAGGATCGAGCAGGAGGCTCGACCATCGAGGGGGAGGCTCGAGGATCGAGGGTCGCAAATGGAGCTGGGGGGTCGAGAAAGGGGGCTCGCGAGCCACGGCGCGCGACCTGTGTTCCTCACGCCTCCGCTCGCAGGGAACGGCCAGGTGCATCCAGGGCTGCTCCCGGGGGCGGGGCCGCCACCAGCTGTGGGGAGAGAAGACAACTCGGGAGGGAGAGGGAGTAGGAAGGGGGAGAAAACACACAAGAGAGAGAAAGAGAGAGTCTTGGGGGAGCCGTCGGTCGGCAAACCTGGCCACGGATGCTAGTCCGGGTTTCTTGCTGCTCCGAGTGCGCTTGGCCAGCGCTTCCTCGACGCCGCGGAATGATTTTAATAATCCACGGCTCTTCCTCCTCCGCCTCCTCCCCCTGCTGCTGCTGCTGCTGCTGCTGCTGCTGCTGCTGCTGCTGCTGCTGCTGCTGCTCCTCCTCCTCCTCCTCCTCCTCCTCCTCCTCCTCCTCCTCCTCCTCCTCCTCCTCCTCCTCCTCCTCCTCCTCCTGTGGGGGGATAGCGGATGGGAAGGGGAGGAGGCGCTCCTGCCTCCGGCGCCGAGGTGCCATGCTTGTGTGCTGCGGCGTTCCTCGCGACGCTCTGCGGGTTGGCGGCTCAGAACCGCCCTGGCCCGATCGCAGCGAGCAGGATGTGGAGAGAAAGCGCGCGAGCGAGAACGAGCGAGATGCAGAGACGGAGACAGTAAGATCGACAGAAAGGGGCATAGTGAGAAGAAAAAGAAAATAAGGAGGGAAGGAGGCGAGCACAGATCGATGGAGAGAGAGAGAGAGAGAGAAAGTCATGGGGAGAGGCAGACTGAGAAGGAGAGGCAGGGAGGGAAGCAAATACAGTTCGATTGAGAGGGAGGGGGAGAGAGAGGGAGAGCGCGAAAGATGGCACCAGTAATCAGTTGCATGTGCATAGATATGCACATCTATACATGCACATCGATACCTATACGACCACCCTGCGGGTGATAAGGAGGTTGTGGGGGGGTGGGGGGAGGGGGGTGGCTCATGACGACAACTGTGATGAACGTGGTGCTGATGGGCGATGATGGTGTGGATGACGTGGCGGATTTTTTTTGTTCCTTCGCTTGGGCGACTTGTGTCGTTCGGTTTGCCGCTGCGCGACGCGGCACATAGCCCACGAGGTCCCAGTCGACGATGGGTGCACCGACGGGCAACCGACGGGACAACGTGGGCTACCGGCGGGCAACCGACGGGCAACCGACGGGACAACGTGGGCTACCGCTTGACAAGGCCGGGGGGGGGGGAAACATTTGTGTTGGCGGACTCCTAGCGACAGCAGGGTGAATTCCTCTCGCTGGCCCACGCAGCTTCGCCTCGCCCGCACGCACGGCACGAGCACCAACTCGAAACTCGATTTCCCGGTGGGGGGACTCCGTTACACTGCGATCTCACCCCCCAACCTCCGACATGCATACATACATACAAGTATGCATGCTTACACTCATTGAAACATATGAACATGCACACATACATTCATACACACATACATACATACGTGCATGCATCTATACATACATGTGTGCATGCATGCATGCATGCATACATACGCACATACATGCATACGTACCCACATGCAGACATACCTGCATGCGCACGTACGTGCGTACAGGCATACGTACATACACACAGGCATGCACACTTACATGTACAGAGAGAGACAGGGACATCGAGAGAGATGGGCAGATGCGGGGAGAGGGATGGATAAAGAGAAGGGCAGAGAGCGAGGCGCATATATATATATATATATATATATATATAGAGAGAGAGGTAGAGGCAGAGAGCGAGGAGAGAGAGGTAGAGAGTGAGGAGAGAGAGAGAGAGAGGTAAAGAGCGAGGCATAGAGCGAGGCATAGAGGCATAGAGCGAGGCATGGAGGTAGAGAACGGGGCATAGAGAGAGAGAGAGAGAGAGCAAGAGAGAGGCAGACCCGCGTAGAGAGGCGCGCAGGCGGAGTGCAAGCTTGAGGAAGCAGACTGACAGGGCTGGATCAATCATGACCGTTCGAGCCTTTCCCTCCCATGGGATGCGGCAGCTGCTCAGTGCACCAGTGTTTCGTGCAACGTCGGCATCGAGCCGCGGTCCGCAGAGTGGCAGCAGAGATGGGGGTGGGAACGCTATCCGTTCCGGGCTCGCAAAGCGTGGCAGGCGTGGCACTTCCTCGACACCACAGGGGGCTGCGCTGTGGGTGGGAGTGCTATCCGTGTCGTGCTCGCAAAGCGTGGCAGGCGTGGCACTTCCTCGAAACCACAGGAAGTGCGCTTATTGTAGCAGGCGTGGCACATCCTCGACACCACAAGGGCTGCGCTGTGGGTGGGAGCGCTATCCATGTCGGGCTCGCAAGGCGGGGCAGGCGTGCATCTTCGACACCACAGGGGGTGAGCTGGGGGTGGGGGCGCTATCCGTTTCGGGCTCGCAAAGCGAGGCAAGCGTGGCACTTCCTCGACACCGCAGGGGGCGCAGTGGGGATGGGAGCGCTATCCGTTTCGGGCTCGTAAAGCGCGGCAGGCGTGGCACTTCCTCGACACCACAGGGGATGCGCTGGGGGTGGGAGCGCTATCCGTGTCGTGCTCGCAAAGCGTGGCAGGCGTGGCACATCCTCGACACCTTGGGGGGTGAGCTGGGCGAGGGAGCGCCATCCGCTCCGGGCTCGCAAAGACTGGCAAGCGCGGCGTTTCCTCGACACCACAGGGGTTGCGCTGGGGGCGGGGGCGCTATCCGTATCGTGCTCGCTACACGCGGCAGGCGAGCCCGCGTGTTATCCAGAACTGCACGCACCTTGCCTCGAACTGTTTCGGCGTGCGCGCGCTTCCACGCAGTCTCGCTTGCAATTCCGTTTGAGGGCAGCAGCCGCGGCACTTGCGCGTGGCAGGCGTGCCGCCCAAAATTGCCATTGGCGGCTTGCGGCCTCCGTGTTTTTTGGTGACGAAGAACGCAATGACGCAGATGGGTGGCGAGGTCAGCGTGGAGAACTCGCGCAGAAGCGCCCGCGGAGCGGTGCCGTCCGCATTTAATGCGCACCGCCGCCAGGCCTGATACGCTCTACGCGAAGTACTCCGACATGGGCGACGACGGCAAGAGGCGGTGTCTGGTGGCGCATCCGCGGAACCCTGCGTCGGGCGGATTCCCCCTGGGTGCGCTTTAGATCAGAGGGGGCAGACTGGGGAACGCGACGGCGGCCCGCCAGCGAAGGCGCGGCGAGCGCTCGAGGCTGGCAGCGCGGCGGCTATCCGATCCGGTCGTCGAGGGCATAGCAGGCGTGGCGCATTCTCGACGCCATAGGGGCGGGTGCGCAGGGCGCGGTCTCTGACTACCTACCACCTGCCAGGCCACCCAAACCCCACCCGAAGACCCGAATTTCGGGGGGGGGCACGGGCCCCACATGTATTTTCTCAATATTCCCCGACCCACCCACCCCACTGGAAATGGAGGGCAAATTGAGGCCTTCGGGTTGGGTTGGAGTGGTTTGGTGGGCGGTGAGTCTACGAGCGCGGCCGCTATCCGAGCCGGTCGCCCAGGGCAACGCAGGCGCGGCACTTTCTTGACGCCGTCGGGGGCGCGCAGAGGACGGTCTCTGAGCGCGGCCGCGGGGGTGCGCAGGGGGTGGTCTCTGAGCGCTGCCGCTATCCGAGCCCGTCGCCCAGGGCGTAGCAGGCGCGGCCTTTCCTCGACACCGCGCGGGTCGCGGGGGGGGGGTCTGCGAGCGCGGCCGCTATCCGAGCCAGTCGCCCAGGGCGCAGCAGGCGCGGCGCATTCTCGACGCCGCGGGGGGGGGGCAGGGAACGGCCACCGACATCATTCTCACCTGCTTCACTTCAATTATTATCCCTCCAACCATAACATCAGTATGTGGGCATCCTCGGTATCGTTCCGGCGTCGCAAAGAATGGCAAGCGCGGCATTTCCTCGACGCCGCAGGGGCTGCGCCGGGGGCGGGGGCGCTATCCGTTTCATAATCGCAAAACTCGGCAGGCGAGCCCGCATGATATCCAGAATTGCGGCTCAAGCCGTTTCGGCGTGCACGCGCTTCTACGCAGTCTCGCCTGAAATTCCGCTTGAGGACAGCAACCGCGGCACCTGCGCGTGGCAGACATGCCACCCAAAATTGCCATGGGCTCGTTGCCACCTCCGCGTCTGGCGACGAAGAACGCAACGACGCAGATGGGTGGCGAGGTCAGCTTGGAGAACTCGCGCGGATGCGCCCGCGGAGCGGCGCCGTCCGCATTTAATTCGCACCGCCGGCAGCTCAACAATTGGCGGCCTGACGTGGCCTAGCAAACGCGGCACATTCTCGACGCCATCAGGGGCGTGCAGGGCGTGGTCTCTGAGCGCGGCCGCTATCCGAGCCAGTTGTCCAGGGCGTAGCAGGCGCGGCCTTTTCTCGACGCCATAGGGGGTGCGCAAGGGGTGGTCTCTGAGCGCGGCCGCTATCCGAGCTGGTCGTCCAGGGCGTAGCGGGCGCGGCATATTCTCGACGCCGCACGGGGTGCGCATAGGGGGTGGTCTGTGAGCGCGGCCGCTATCCGAGCCAGTCTCCCCGGGCATAGCAGTCGCGGCACTTTCTCGACGCCGTGCGGGGCGCGCAGGGGGTGGTCCCTGGGCGCGGCCGCTATCCGAGCCTGTCGTCCAGGGAATAGCAGGCGCGACTGGAATGATGATAGCTGAAGTGAAGCATGCGAGAATTATGTCGGCGGCCGTCCCCTGCGCCCCCCCTAGGGTGTCGAGAATCTACCAAGTAGAAGGTTTACAGAAACCGTCGGTCTTGAATCAACTTCATTGTTCTGCAGAAGAGAGCATTGTTTTTTTTATATATAATATTTGCTCGTTGATTTAAAATGCCGGAGGCTTCGAGCGACAGACCCTGCACTCTAGGCGCGGGAGCGATTCCAGCGACCATCTGAGCATGGGAATGCTTCCAGCGACCATCTGAGCATGGGAGTGCTCCCAGCGGCCCTCTGAACATTGGAGTGCTTCCAGTGGCCCTCTGAGCATGGGGGTGCTTCCAGCGACTCTCTGAGCATGGGGGTGCTTCTGGCAACCCTCCAAGCGTGGGGGTGCTTCGAACGACCCTCTGAGCACGGGAACACTGCAAGCGGCACCTTGAGCACATGCAAACAGCAGTCTGAGCACGGAAGCGCTGCAAACAGTAACTTTGAACGCGGAAGCGCTGCAAGCGGCAACTTGAGCACGGAAGCGCTGCAAACGGCAATTTGATTACAGAAGCGCTGCTAACAGCAATTTGAACACAGAAGCGCTGCAAACAGCACTTTGAGAACGGAAGCGTTGCTAACAGCATTTTGAGCACGGAAGCGCTGCGAACAGCAATTTGAGCACGGAAGCGCTGCTAACGGCATTTCTGAGCACGGAATGCGTTGCAAACAGCATTTTGAGAACGGAAGCGTTGGTAACAGCATTTTGAGCGCGGAAGCGCTGCAAACAACATTTTAAAAACGACAGCGCTGCTAACATACTTTTTGAGCACGGAAGCGCTGCAAACAACAATGTGATCACGGAATTGTTGCAAACAGCAATGCGAGCACAGAAGCGCTGCTACCAGTAATTTGAAAACGGAAGCGCTGCTAACAGCAATGCGAGCACACAAGCGCTGCGAACAGTAATTTGAAAACGGAAGCGCTGCAAACAGCATGGAAACGCCGGAAACGGCAATCAAAACACAAAACTGCCGCGAATACTCATGGGGTGCTTTTGGGTGCTTCTGGGGTTATCCTAGGGTGCTTCTTGGGTGCTTCTGGGTTGCTTCTGGGTTGTTTCCGGGCTGGTGTCGGGTCGATTCCGGGCGAATTCCAAGGTGATTTTGGGACGAGTTCAGATTGTTTCCGCGCTGGTTCCAAAACCGATTCCGGGACGGGCTGATTTTGCATAGCTTCGCAGAGATTCTTTGCTGATTCTGGATTGCGTCTGAAACCATCTTGTTCCGCGGTCTAACCCAACTTCACGCTGATTCAGAACTATCGTCGCCATTTTTCGCAGCAGTGCTGGCGCGACACACCTGGTCTACCTGTTACTTCGTTCTCTGTGTAATGCATGAGTTTCCAGGTTTCTGTCGATGTCCCCACTGCAACCTTTGGGTGCCAGACGCGATCTCTGCGAGACGCACTGAAGAACCTCATCCTGAGGTATTTTGTCAACTGGTGGGCCCGCGTCCTCCACAATGCGTCTCTGCGTTGGCAGATTCACCACCGGCCAAAGCACGTCTTTGCCAATCCAAGATCGGCCCTCGCCAGCAGCAGCGCATTCTGTAGTTCGGGGTTTCCGAAGTTGCAGGGGCAAAACTCTCGACGAGGTCCTCGCTTGGTTGAGCCGGCGTGTGTGTGGGGGGGATTCTTGCAGATTTGCTGTCCCATGGTGTCCTTCGTCCGCTCGGTAGATGTGGCTGCGCTGATTCAGAATTTCTTTTGCGTCCACGGCGACGCCCAGGACAGGGCAGGGTCGGCCAGCAAAAACCAGCGGCGTGCAGGAGGTGCCCGAGGTGCGATCTTAAGACGGCAGCCGATTGCGAACCGACTCATTTTGAGACAGGGCAGAGAGATGATGCTGGTTTGTCATTGGCTGGGAGGTCTTTCTCCCGCAGCATCGGGGACGGTAGCGAAAGCGTGGAAAGGGGGGCAGTCAGCAACCGTTACAAGCGTCATCAAGCATCCCTGGTCCGCGTCGAGAAGAATCAGCCGAAACTCACGGGCATTGGTATTATCGTTGATCTTATTTGGGGCCAGCACCGTCGAGGGGCTCATTTTGGAGCCCCTTGTCGCCCACGCCGAATATATGCCGCGCCTTTTCAAGTCGTCGTCGATTTCGAAGAGGTCGACGGGGCGCGGCGGTTCATCCCCCAGTCTCTCCGCATCACGCATGTTCTGAGCAAGAAAGCGACATGCCACGCAGGCGTTCAGGAGACAGTTTCGGAACGATCCTGCCGCGTTCTTTGCGACCATGGGTCAGAATGGGCCAGGTTACCGCATCGTCGTCCGAGCTGTCGCACTGTCAACCACAGCGTTGAATGGAGCACGGCCGACGGCGTTTCCACCAACCTTGGCGAGTGCTACAACGGGATCCTGAAAGATCTTGGCAAATGTTTGGCGCTTTTCCATGGGAAGGTACCGACAGCAGATTTTTGCGATAAGTGGCATGAGCTGTGCTGGCGTATCAATACAGGGATCAATCTTAAGGGTATTCCAATTTTTGGACAAGCTGCTTCTCTATCTTGATGTTTTGGTGGCAGAGCAAAGCGCGCCTGGGGGTCAGACTCCATGTGCTTTTCCAATTTCTCGCCAGGACACGGAGATGAGTGTGATAGTCGAACCAAAGAGTAAAGTGGAATTGCGGCGTTTCCCCAAGAAGACGACAGGCCCATTGCGAACCATCTTGCGATCTTTGTGGGAGTGGCTAAAATCAGCGGGCTCACCCATCCAGTTCCCAGGCCTGTCCAAGCAGGAGCGCTGGTACGTGCACCAATGGTGCGAAGCGTGGGTGGGCGTCAATCGCGAGGGCGTTGGCACAGACACAAGCGGTCGCGTGTTCAACGTGTCCAGAGGCGGCGCAGTGTTCAGGCGTCAGTCTCGAGAGCCAACGGAAGCGCACCCTGACGATGCTGCTAGCGCTAATGAAGGCGGAGTGTCAGAAGGGGGCCACAGGGGATGATGACGATGACGATGCGCCCCTCACCTCGCTACTCCCACGGAAACGGCTTGCTGCACAAGAATTTCAGGACTAATCCAGCGAGCCCGTGGAGATCACACTCGCGGAAGTGGATGAAGTATTAGCCCAGTATGGCAAGCGTTGCGATCCAACGACGCCCAAAGACGGGCATTGCGTATACCATGCGTTGAAAAAGCTTGGGGTGACCATGGACACCATAACGGAGATGAGGCCCCGAGCGATTGGCGAGGCAAATCCTGCAGCACTCGCGGCTGCAGAACTGAGCATGGGACGCACAATGAGACAGCGAGGAGGAGGAGGAGGAGGAGGAGGAGGAGGAGGAGGAGGAGGAGGAGGAGGACGAGGATGAGGAGGATGATGATGATGATGATGAGGAGGAGGAGGAGGAGGAGGAGGAGGAGGAGGAAATGGGCGCCAGCCCAGCGTAAAACGGGAGGAAGTCTCGGGCGGGAGCGTTGGTTTTGTCGGGATGGGGGCTGCCAGCGGCGAGCAAGAGCACCGCCTTGAGTAAAAAATGAGGAACTCTCCAGCGGGATCGTTGTTGTTGCTGGGGGCGGCGCTGATGAGAGAAAGTGTAGCGCGCCTGTCCAAGGTAAAACGGGAGGAAGTCTCGAGCGGGAACGCTGGTTTTGTTGAGGCGGCTGCTTTCGGCGGCGAGCAAGAGCACCGGCCCTGAGCAAAAAAGGGGAAGTCTCGAACGGGAGCGTTGTTGTTGTTGGGGGGCCGGTTTTGGCGGTCCCCCAAACCGCTGGGGGGTGAGCCTCATTTTCGATGAAAATGCAGCCCGCGCCTCGGCGAGAGCGCCAGGGCGCCTTTTCAGGGGTCCAACAATAATAATTGTTTAGTAATCAATATTCAACAACAAAAACAGCAGCAACAACAACATCAACAACAACAGCAGTAGTTTGCACCGCAGGACTTCATTTCCGCCACGCGCCCAGAGACAGTGAATGACCGTTCGGCCCCCTCACTCTGACGAGGAGGGGCTTGGAACAGGAAGGTAACTTGCAGCATCGATGAGTCATATTGGGTTTACTCTGGTCTTCCTACTCCTCTCCTTCTCCCCTCTAAGTCCTCATCGTAATCAGCATCAGTATCGTCGTCGTCCTGTTCCTCCTCATCGCCTTCTTATTCCTCGACATCCTGTCTCTCTCCCCCTCCTCGTCCCTCTCCCCCTCATCTCCCTCTCCTTCTCCTCCACCCCCATCCTCCCTCCTCCTCCGCCTCCTCTGCCGCCCCCTCCTCCTTGCCCCCCAGCTTCCCCCTACTTCCCCCGTGCTACTCCCTGGCGGGGCCTCTCACCCACGGCAGTCGCCCGCGTCTTTAACGGCCCCGTTGCGGCCTTCCTCTCGGCGCACGGTGCGCGCGCCGAGGCTGGCGTTGGCGGCGCTCCTCATGGCGCGAGCCGCCACCGCCTCGGCCCGCCCCTGCGGTCAGGCCCTGACGGTTCGTTGCTGCTGCTCCTCGTCCAACCTGCTCGCCGACCTCCTCCTCATGCCCTCCTCCTCCTCCTCTTCCGCCTCCTCCTCTTCCGCCTCCTCCTCTTCCTCCTCCTCCTCCCCGCCTCCTCCTCCTCTTCCTCCTCCTCCTCCTCCCTCCTCCTCCTCCTCCTCCTCCCTCCCCTCCTCCTCCTCCTCCTCCTCCCCCCCTCCTCCCCTCTCCTCCTCATCATCCTCTCCTCCTCTCTACTCCTCCTCCTCCTCCACCTCCCCCTCCTCCTCCTCCTCCTCCTCCTCCTCCTCGTCCCCATCCTCCCCTTCTCCTCCTCCCTCCTCCTCCTTCTCCTCCTCCTCCTCCTCTCCTCCTCCTCCTTCCCTCCTCCTCCTCCTCTCCGCCTCCTCCTCCTGCTTCCCTCCTCCTCCTCCTTCTTCTCCTCCTCCCCTCCTCCTCTTCCTCCTCCTCCTCCTCCTCTCATCATCATCCTCGTCATCCTCATCCCCATCGTCATTCTCATCCTCATCCTCATCCTCATCCACCTCCTCCTCCCCCTTCTCCTCCTCCCGCGTCCTCCTCCTCCGCCACCCCTGATTTTTTCCGATTCCGTTTTGCCGTTTTTGTTGCCGGTTCCGTCGCCGTTTATTCCCGGTTTCGACGCCGTTGTGATTTCCGTTTCCAGTTCTGGTTCCAATCGCGGAGCCGTTTTTGTTGTTTCCGTTCGCCGTTTCTGCTACCACCACCACCCACCACCATCCACCACCACCCACCACCACCCACCACCACCCACCACCACCGACCACCCACCAAAACCACCACCACCCACCACCACCCACCACCCACCACCCACCCACCATCTACCAACCACCACCACCACCACCACCACCACCGCCACCACCACCACCACCACCACCACCACCACCACCACCACTACCACCAACCACCTCGAGGATGGAGGCAAAAAGAAAAGTGATCACTGGATTAGTGGGCTCCAGAAACGGCAAGGCCGTGATTTTACCGTTTTCGAACTGGTGGGTGGTGGTGAATGGTGGTGGGTGGTGGTGGGCGGTGGTGGTGGTGGGTGGTGGTGGGTGGTGGTGGTGGTGGTGGGTGGTGGTGGGTCTGTGGTGGGTGGTGGTGGGTGGGTGGTGGGTGGTGGGTGGTGGTGGGTGGTGGTGGGTGGTGGATGGGTGGTGGGTGGGTGGTGGGTGGTAGTGGGTGGTGGTGGGTGGTAGTGGGTGGTGGTGGTGGGTGGTGGTGGGTTGGTGGGTGGTGGTGTGTGGCGGTGGGTGGTGGTGGTGGTGGGTGGTGGTGGATGGTGGTGGGCGGTGGTGGGTGGTGGTGGGTGGTGGTGGGTGGTGGTGGGTGGTGGTGGGTGGTGGTGGGTGGTGGTGCGTTTCCTTTTCCCTATCCCTCCTCCCCGCCGCCTGCTTCTCTGCCAGCGTGCTGTGTGGGTTCCCGCTCCCAACTACCATGATGTCGTCAATAGCCACCTGAGGGGCCGAGAACTCCTCCAGGGAACTCTTGACCAACGAAGACGTCCCAAGAGGAGGGTCCAACGTACCTCCACACCTTTTCAATTTGCCATGATGGCATTGATTACCGCCCACACGGTTGGGAAGGCCTTACGGCCGATGCCGCCGACCCTGAAGCGGGACGGCGACGACGACGGCCGCGGCGGCTGCGACGTCGACGTCGTTGACGCCCTGGAGCTCTGCTTGGGGCTCTCCTGGGAGCCGCTCAGGCTCGGCTGGGGCCAGGGCTGGGGCCAGGGCCGGTACCGCCACACCTTTCCATTCTCCCAGTCATCTGGCTGCCCCACTGTTTTCGATGCGTGGGCCCCAGAGGTCGGGACCACTTGCAAGGGGCCAGCTGTTCGTCCCGAGTCGTTTGGTTGACGCTCCCGAGGCGTCGGATGGACCTCGAGAGGGGTCCAGGGGCCGATTTTGATCGATATTCGAAGCCAGAAGGCCGGGGGACTTCGAAGCCCTCGCGCCTTCTGGAAATTGCTCCATGTCTTCGGAGAAGGCTTCGTACATTTTGCAGAGGGCTGGGGGATTTCCGAGCCTTTTGAGAATTTTTCTGAGGGGGGGGAGGAGGGAGGGGGATAGGGGAGGGAGAGGAGGGAGGGGGGAGGAGGAGGAAGAGGAGGAGGAGGAGGAGGAGGAGGAGGGAGAGGAGGAGGGAGAGGAGAGGGAGAGGAGAGGAGAGGAGGGCTGGGGCTGGGGGATTTCCTTCTCTCTCCCCCCTGGGCTCGCCGCCGATCATCCTCGTCTCCTGCGGGCCGGCGCGGGGCGAGGCCTGTCCCGTGGCACAGCACGGAGCCACGGAGCCAGAGAGTCCCAAGGGGTGGTGCTTAGCGTGCCGCAGCCAGGATCTCCTGCGAATCTTCGGGTGGAGGATACTCCAGATTTCGTAATACAGGGAGGGGGGTCTCTTTTCGGGGGGGGTCTCTTCCAGGCTATCTTGGAGGGCCTGGGGGGTCTGGGGACGATGTTTTGGAGGGTTCTCCCACGGGGGAGGTCTGAAATGGCTTGTCTTGGAGGGTCCAGACCCCTTTCCTTTTATTACGAAATCTGGAGTACGTCTCCTCCGTCTCCCCCCCGCCGTATCAGATCAGCAGCGGTGCAAGCAACAACAAAGTGTCGGGCAGCGTGCCTACCCTCGGATGCACGTGTGTTTCCTGGATCTTTCGGTGTCGTTGATCGCCAGGAGTCCCCCAGTGCGCCTCTTGAGGGTGAACAGATCTTGATCCCAAGGCATTGTTTGGCCCTCGAACATAAGCGTGCTGCTCGGAGAAGCCGTGGACTCGATCACAGGGGGTGTCGTGTTCCTTTTGGTTTTCTTCTTCCTCCCACTAGTCATTGTCCCCCTCTTCTGTCGGCGAGGATCTAGGGCTCACGTTGCTCTTCGCTTTAAAGTATGGCTGAAGGCCCACTGCGCCGACGTTGAGCCAGTAGTGAGTTTGTTCCCCACAATCCTGTGATGTTGGGTCCTCGTTTTGAATAGAACGCGCCCAGCGTTCACTCCTCCCGCTGCCCCCTCCCTCCTCCCCCTCCTCCCCCTCCTCCCTCCTCCTCCTCCTCCTCCTCCTCCTCAGGCTCCCGCTCCTCCTCCTCCTCCTCCTCCTCCTCCTCCTCCTCCTCCTCCTCCTCCTCCTCCTCCTCCTCCCTCCTCCCTCCTCCTCCTCCTCCTCCCTCCTCCTCCTCCCCTCCTCCTCCTCCTCCTCCTCCTTCTCCTCCTCTTCCTCCTCCTCCTCCTCCTCCTCTTCCTGCTCCTCCTCCCTGCGTTTCACCCTCCCAGTACAGCGCTTCGTGGCCCAACAGGGTGCTCCGCCGAAGGCCCCCGTGGCAGGGTCCGCATGCAGTTCCACCTCCATTTCGGCGCACCCCTCACACGTTTCGTGGCCCCATAGGGTGCTCCGCCGAAGGCCCCAGTGGCAGGGTCCGCATGCAGTTCCACCCTCATTTCGGCGCACCCCTCGCACGTTGCGTGGCCCCATAGGGTGCTCCGCCGAAGGCCCCAGTGGCAGGGCCCGCATGCAATTCCACCTCAACTTTGGCGCACCTCTCGCACGATTCGTGGCCCCATAGGGTGCTCCACCCAAGGCCCCAGTGGCAGGGTCCGCATGCAGTTCCACCCCCATGTCGGCGCACCCCTCACACGTTTCGTGGCCCTATAGGGTGCTCCGCCGAAGGCCCCAGTGGCAGGGTCCGCATGCAGTTCCACCTTCGTTTCGGAGCACCCTCACACGTTCCTTGGCCCCATCGGGTGCTCCGCCGAAGGCCCCGGTGGCAGGGTCCGCATGTTGTTCCACCTCCATGTCGGCGCACCCCTCACACGTTCCGTGGCACCATAGGGTGCTCCACCCAATGCCCCAGGGGCAGGGTCCGCATGCAGTTCCACCCCCATGTCGGCGCACCCCTCAGACGTTCCATGGTCCCATAGGGTGCTCCACCCAAGGCCGCAGTGGCAGGGTCCGCGTGCAGTTCCACCCCCATTTCGGCGCACCCCTCACACGTTTCGTGGCCCCATAGGGTGCTCCTCCGATTGCCCCAGTGGCGGGGCCCGCATACAGTTCCACTTCATTTCGGCGCACCCCTCGCACGTTCCGCGGTCCCGTAGGGTGCTCCGCCGAAGGCCCCGGTGGCAGGGTCCGCATGCAGTTCCGTTTCAATTTCGGCGCACCCTTGGCGGTTTCCGCGGCCCCGTAGGGTGCTCCGCCGAAGGCCCCCGTGGCAGGGTCCGCATGCAGTTCCACTTCAATTTTGGCGCACCCCTCGCATGATTCGTGGCTCCATAGGGTGCTCCACCGAAGGCCCCCGTGGCAGGGTCCGCATGCAGTTCCCCCTCCATGTCGGCAAACCCCTCACACGTTCCATGGCCCCATAGGGTACTCCGCCGAAGGCCCCAGTGGCAGGGTCTGCATGCAGTTCCACTTCAATGTTGACGCACCCCTCGCGTTTCGTGGCCCTATAGGGTGCTCCGCCGAAGGCCCCAGTGGCAGCCTCCATCGTGCCCGCGCTGTGTGTAATCCATCCAGATAGTAGCAGACGTTCTCCGCGTGATAACATGGTAAATCATAATCGTTGCCCTCAAAGGCCCTTGCATCTTTACCGCGCATCCTTATTATACGGGGTGATTGTGCAGAGGTCCTCCTCCGCCTCCTCCGCCGCCACCGCCACCGCCGCCTCCTCTCTCCTTGGACCACCTCCTGCTCCTCGTCCTCGCCCCTCTCCTCGCCACCCTCCCCCTACAGCTCGTTGCTTCCGCTCCTCGCCTGACATCCGGCCGCACTCGTCACGCCCGCTACGAGCAGCGGGCTGCCGCGCTGAGGTCACGAGGCTGGCGGCAGCGGCCGCGCTGCTGGCATGGCTCCTCGCCCGATGGTACATGCTGCCAGCCGGCTCTGCCCAGGAGTCCCTGTTACTGGGCCAGTTTCCAGGCTCCTGCCCCCGCCCCTCTTGATCATCCGCACCCTTCCATCTCGTCCTCCGGCTCCGCCTCACCGAAGGCAGGGCGGAGGAACAGGAGGAAAAGGAGGAGGGGGGGGAGGAGGAGACCTTAGGAGGAGGAGGAGGAGGAGGAAGAGGAGCAGGAATAGGAGGAGGAGGAGGAGGAGGAGGAGGAGGAGGAGGAGGAGGAGGAGGAGGAGGAGGAAGAGGAACAGGAAAAGGAGGAGGAGGACGAGGAGGACGAGGAGGAGGAGGACAGCAGCAGGGGGAGAGGTGGACGTGGAGCAGGGGGGGCGAGGGAAAGGGGCCAGGGTGGCGAGGGCGAAGGGGCGAGTGGTGAAGTTTTGGAGCTCGCGCGGTGGGTCGTGGTGGGCCTGGCGGGAGGGAGCCAGCAGGCCACCAGGCACGGCCAGACCGATGTATAAGATCGAGGTCTGTTCGAGGAGGGTGTCCTAATGTTTTTCGTGCTTGTTGGATATGCTTGTGCATCCTGGAGTGCTTGGGCTCGCGGAGGGTCTCGTGTCTTTGAAGACTGTTCTTCTGACACGGGTCCGGCCGCAACCAGGTTCAGCGCAGCTGGGGCTCAGCCAGAGCGGCAGATCTTGCAGGATCCTTCAACGCCGGCTTTGGGCTGAGCAGGGTCGGGGATCCGTTCACGGGTCTGGGGTGGCCTTCCGCAGTGGCGAGCCTGGCCTGGGCAGCCCCCCGAGCTCGCAGCGCAGTTTTTTCCCGAGGTTAGCTGGGCCAGGATTGCGCTGCGCCAGGCAAGTCCACGCCCGAGGGAGGTGAAGGTGGGTGAGGGAGGTGAAGCGTGGGGACAGCCCCGTTCGAGGAGCGCCCCCAGGAGGCGCGGCGCTGGCGGCTGAGATCTGGGCGCTCGCCTCTTCTTCTTCTTCTTCCTCCTCCTCCTCCTCCTTCTCCTCCTCCTCCTCCTTCTCCTTTTCCTTGTCCTTTTCCTCCTCCTCCTCCTCGTCCTCCTCTTCCTCCTCGTCCGTAACCATGTTGGCTCAAGATGCCGAACTCTGGAGGGTGTCAGCCCCCAGGCCAAAGGGAGACCGCTAGGCCGTGGACTGCATTCGTGCGTACTCGGGACAAGGGTGTCTCGTTTATCGTACGTCTCCCCAGTTTTGTTCTCTCATGGCGGCGGACGCTTCTCTCTCAGCCACGGTCGCAGATGGGGCGCTCCGACGCAGCGGCATCCAGAAGCGCAAGGGTCATGCTGACGGTGATCCTCCTGGTGGGCGGAACGATCGCTCGAGGACTCCGCCGCCCAATGATGAGGCCGCCCTCGACACCTCCGCCACCATGGTCTATGTCCAGTCTCTCAAAGACAGGCTCGGCTCCATGGAATCGGCCATCAGGGACACAATCAAGGCTTCGGTCTCCTCGGCGATGGGCGCGGCCACGGGCCCCATCACTGCTGCCATTTCCGCGGTCGGCCCCGCCGTGGGCCAGCAAATCGACGCCACTTGCAAGTTCTTCCAGCAACAGTTCGACGCCTTCACCCTGCGCATGGGTGACATCGAGAGCCGCCAGGACCGGACCGACAAGGCCATCTCCTTCATGTCTGACCAGATCGTGGCGCTCCAGAAAGCTTTCGAGGTGGCCAGCAAACAGCCGGTGCAGGACACCTTCGTGGGCCGCGACTTCGGCAGAGACGTGGACCGCATTATCATAAAAGTGCATGCTGACGGACTGGTCACGCTCGACAGAGCGACAGAAGGCCCTCACCAAGCGGATCACGGACAGCGGCATCGAGGAATCGCATTTCCAGGTCCAGGGCCAAGACACCTCCAGATACTTCGCGGTTCAGTTCACGGGCCTACCTGGGCCCGCCGCTCGCCGTTTTCAGAAAGCCTAGGACTGTCTCCGCAATCGTGATGGCAGTTGTTCCCGCATACGTGCCCCAGCGATCGCAGGCAATGGGTCTGTTGAGCTGCGGGTGGGGCCTGGCAAGTGCCCCTAGCAGATCAAGACGGATATCATCGGCAAGCGCATCCGCCAGGCTTTGGAGCGGGCTTTCCCCAACCACACTTGGAGAGTCGACCGCGCCAAGGGCTGGATCTCAACCAACTGATCTCCCGTTCTCTCTTTTACAGTACATGCCAGACGTGATGAAGCCACGGCGATCGTCTGCCAGGACACGGGCCCCCCTGCGCTGGGCCTCAACCGCGCGCAGATCAAGGGCGCCATCAATTACATGGTTACGCCCGAGGCGGCCCCCCAGTTTTGGCTTTGACCAGATTGCCAAAGGACTGATGCGCGCGCTGCGCGGTCCCTCTCCGAGTTTGGTGGTTGGGACATGGAATGCACGAGCTCTCCTCAGCTACCAAGGGCGACGAGTTGTGGAGAAGTCTTCCTACCTACGAACCCTTCCCCTCGACAAGATGATCCTCGGCATCCAGGAGGTCCACCGGGGCCGCGCTCAGCTCCTCGCCTCCATGCGGAAGATCAGCGCCAAGCTCTCCATGCACTCCTCCTTCGCGCCAGGCCATCATGGGGAAGTCAGTGGCGGTGTAGCTACTGTCTTCCCATCAGGTCTCAACGCGGCGAGCAATCCCCTCCTCCCAGGGCGCGTTCTGCGCACTGTCTCCCAGGCCGACGACCAGAGGCTGATCTTCAACAACATCCACAACTACGAGATCAACACTGCGGCGGCCAGGCGCATCTCGACCAACATCAACGGCGACATGCACCTCGCAAAGGCCGGCCCGAGCAAGATCGCGCTTGTCGTCACCGGGGACTTCAACTCCGCCGCCGCCGGGAAGCTGAAGCACGCGAAATTCAATGCCAGAGCATCGTCGGAGGCTACCGAGACATCCAAAGCTTCGGCGCGCAAGTGGCATGGGCGCTCAATCGCACGGTGGAGACCGAGGGCAGCGACGCCGCCCACTTCTGCGCGGAGACGCTGGCGGAGTCGACCATCGACCGCTGCTTCTGCTCGATCACACCCTCCCTGATGACCCAGCTCGCCGTTACTTCCGCCGCATTCTCCACTCCCGAGCTGCTGCCCCGCCGGCGGGTCAGCGACCGCGCCGCAGTTCTCGTCTCCTTCGCCGCGCGCGGAACCAACCGATCGCCCAGCACATCTTCAAGTCACCCATCTTCAAGCAGATTGCGGAGAAGGGCGTTCTCCCACAATGGCCTCGACAAGCTTTCCCCGCCAGCTAGATTGCTACAGAATGCGGAACTCCCGCGAGAAGTTGCGCGCGCTGCCCAAGACCGCACTCACGAAGAACACCCAGGGCAGGGGGATGTCCAGCTCCAGCTGGCCAAGTCGCTGGCCCGCGCAGTCTGGCGTCAGGATCGTTCGCCGGCGGCCAGACTCCTTCGCGTTCATGCTAGAGCGCAAGACATCTTCGAAATCGGCAATGACCAGATCAAGCTCATCGACCCTGCCGCGTTCGAGGAGTGGGCTAGCGCCCTATTCCGCCAAGACGCCGACCAACGGCGATCCCCCATCGACCTGGCACGCCAGCGCGGGCGCCTCCCTCATTCCCGAGCCCGCGCTCAGTGCCAGGCATTGCACCGCAAAGCCTAGCTTTGGAACCCGATCAGCAGGCGCTTGGCGCTCGCCGGTGCGAAGACGGCCACGGGGGCTGCGACGGGACCGACTGGGACCGACTGATGGAGCACTGGCAGCCCGTCTTCCAAGGCAAGTTAGTGGACACCGTGGCTGCGGAGCACTACCTCGACTGCGGTGCGCTCAAGATCGATTTCAACAGATACCAGCCTCCCGAATGCGACGCGCTGAAGAGGTTCGCGAACAGATCATCCCCCACTTCTCCTGGCATGGACGGGCCCCCCTACATTGCGCGGTCCGCGGCTGAGAAGTGCACTGAGACCCTCTGGCAGGCCATGACTTGGATGCTCAGCGGCGCCCCCCCCCCCCCCCCCGACGAAGCCAATGCGACGGCCCGCGCATTTCTTCCCAGAGGGGGGGAACCAGACGACGCTGAGCACATCGGCTGCCACCGTGACCCATCAAAAGTCCGAGTCCTGGGGCCTCGGAACACCTCCCTCAAGATCACCAACAACACGATGAACGCTGCGATGGCCGCGATGGCTGCCGACGTGGCCTCAGCGTCGCAGCGCGGGGTCACCCGCCGCCGCGGCTTCGGCTACAACATCTTCGAGCTGGACGTCGAGAGCCGCATGGCGTCCGCCGACCCCAACGCCATGACCAAGCTGCCTGCGTTGGTGTCGCTGGACATCGCGCAGGCCTTCCTGAGCTTCGCCCACCAGTTCATCCGCTTCGCGCTGAAGGTGATGGGCGCGCCTGGAGCTGCTTCGAAATTCTTTAACTCTATGTGCCACGACGTCCTCGCGATGGCCCCGCGCGCGGGCTCGGACGTTCCGCTCTTCTACATCCGCTCGGGCATCCGCCCAAGGATGCGGGTGGAGCGGCGCCCTCTCTACGCGATGGGCAGCTTCTGCTTCCTCCTGGGCCTCGAGCAGAAGCTCGACCCAGCCCGAGGCTCGCTGCAGTTATCCATCTCGCGCACCCGGAAGGGGTGATGGTTCTCACGTGAGACTTTGCGGGCCTCGCTCTGAAGCCCGCCGAGTTCCACATCATCCCGCTCGCGGGCCCTGTCGATGGCGAGCTCGCGAACACGCTGCGCAGCGCCCTGGCCGCGATCGCCCCCCCGCCCCAGGGAGCTCAACATCTGCGACCGCTTGACCTATCTCGGTATTCCTCTGGGGCCCAGGGCATCCGAGTGCTTGGTCTACGAGAAGGCCTTCCAGAAGTTCCGCTGGCGCACCAAGATGTGCAGTGCCAGCGACGCCCCCTCCATGGGATCCGCACAGTTGTTCAATAGCCGTGCCCTACCTGTCCTCAGCTACATCGCCCAGTGCGTGATGCTGCCCCACGAGTCTTTCAAAGTCGAGAACTGGGTCAATGCCTCCGCCTTGAGGTTCACCAACGGTGCGTTCAAGGTCAAGGACTGGCCGAGGCTGCGAGACTGGGGCGCGCATGCTCCAAGGTCCATGCAGCTCGCGCTGATTGCCGCGATCGTCCGAGCTGCCACTGCTACCTTCCACAAGTTCCCCGAGATTCGCGAGCGCCCCCACCGGGGCCTCGACCTGGGCGGGGATGACCGGGCCCTGTTGGGCGAGGCTCGGGCTGCCCAACATCTCTCGCAGCCCTGGTGGAAAGCGCCGCCAGTCGTCGAGACGTTCCACCAGATCGTGTCCGCGGAGACGGACCACCGCTACTACTCGCCCACGCTGCTGGCCCCTGCCCTCGAGGCCGCGAGGGCGTCACTCGCAGCGGGCAAGCCTGCCCGCGTCCAGCGGCTGGCGTGCGCTGCGGCGAGGCGCGCGATGGGCGCGGGCGAGATTGGCTCGTTCTCGATGAAGCGGGTCAAGATCGAGCTGCCCGACCTCGAGGACTTCTTCGCGAACGACCCCGAGATGTTCGACAGGATGAAGATCGCCATGAAGAAGCTGCCGCCGTCGTGGGCAGCGACGTGGATGAGGACGCTGTCTTTTTCGCGGCTGCCATCGATCAGGGTCGCCTATTAGTGCGGGCGCAAGCCCTGCATCTTCCAGTGCGCCGCTGGCGCAGACAACGAGAAACGCTACCTGACGTGTGGCCCGCTGGCTGCTGCTGCGGCGGCAGCGGCCAGATCCACCGCCCAGACCCAGGCGGTCGCGAACCTCGCGCTGCTGGACAGTAGCAGCGAGAGCATCGAGCGGGCGGTCGTCGCGCGCGGCACATACCACGCGCCCCGCATGGAGAACAGCGTCGACTTGGAGACCCTTCGCGCGGCGGCGCGGGCGGCGCTGCGCGCCCCGCGGACGATGCGCTGCCCGCCCCGCGCGCAGCGTGCCCCTTCCCCCCGTGTTGACGGAGTGCATGGAGCTGCTGCGCATCCACATCATCAAGTACACGTACCTCGAGCGGCCGCTGCGGCCGGCCCCCCACCTGCGAGCGCCCCTGCGAGTGGGGGCATTGCGCGGAGGCCGTGGCGCGGCTGCGCGCGGGGACGCGCGGCCTGCGTGGCGGCGGAGGCAAAACCGAACGCCTCGGCAAGCTCGACTCCTTTTCCTCCTCGTCCTCCTCCTCCTCTTCCTTATCCTCCTCCTCCTCTTCATCTCCTCCTCTCCTCCTCCTCCTCCTCTCACCCCCACCTCCTCCTCCTCCTCCTACTCCTCCTTCCTTCTCCTCCTCCTCCTCCTCCTCCTCCTTCCTCCTCCTCCTCCTCCTCCTCCTCCTCCTCCTCTCCTCCTCCTCCTCCTCCTCCTCCTCCTCCTCCTCCTCCTCCTCCTCCTCCCCCCGCTGCATCCCCCTCTCAGCTGCAGCCCTGCTGCCCTCGGGGCCTCCCACCCCTGGGCCTGCCTGCCCGCGGGGGGCGCCAGGCGCGGCCGGTGTTGTCCGCCGGCGGGCTCGGCGCCAGCTCCTGCTAGAGCGGAGCCGCGCGACAGGGCGAGCTCGCGCTCCACGTCGAGTCCGTCGCTGTCGCGTTCTTGCGCCGTCTCCTGTTGAATTTGCTGGGCCTGTTTGCCCGCGGGGCGCCAGGCGCAGTTGCTGTCGGGCGACATGGCGCCGGCGCCTTTCTAGGAAACGCTTCATGTGGGAGAGTAAGTGTGATAGTAACTGCCGGTGCTGAATATGTCACGCAGCGCGTGCAGCAATGCACGCAGTGTCGTGAGCCGGCGCATCGCATGCAGCTTCGCGCCGCGAGCGCCGCCTGCCCGTTCAAAGAACCGCTCCTGCGGGAGCCAGCGCGCTGGCTGAGAACGAGGCTGGGGCTTCATGTGGGAGGGCGAGCTTGCGCTCCGTGGTCATGTTCCAGCGCCGTCTCCTGCTGGACTTGCCGGGGCCCCCCTTGCCCGCATCCTGGCGGCGCCGCCAACGGCGTCGAGGAGCGACAGGGCGTGTGCGGCAGGCCTTTGGTCGCATCCCACCCAGTTGCGCAACGAGACGGCGCGGTCCCTTGGCGGAGTGGATCTCCGCCCGCGGCGGGCGCGCCGATACGGAGCGTTGCGTCACGGAGCTGTATTTGGAATCCAGCAGTGAAGTCACCGAGGCGCTGTGGGTGGCCTGGCCTTCCCATTCCGACGTGGGTGGCATCGCTTTGGCCGCTACGCTTCCCCCCCCCCCCCACGCCGCCGCGGCGAGGTCCGTTCCAGTTTAAGTCGTCTGTCGGGGGGGAGATGCTCTCCCGTCCGCGGGTAGAGAAAAGGAGCACGCCTCGCTTGGCTCCCCCCTCTTCCCTCTCTCCTCTTCTCCCCCCCCTCTGCAAGTTCGACGCGATATCCACCACGTTGAGCCCTGCGGGCTCAACTGGGCATTGTGGAGTGCCCCCGCAGCGGGGCCTTATACCAGGGGCGGCGGACAGCGCGAGTTGCCTCCAGGTAGATAGCGGCCCAAGGTCCGGCGCGAGGATTGTGGCGAGGTGGAGCTCGCGGAAGGGCGAACTAGACTCCTCCGCCGCTTCTGTTTCCCCCTCCTCATTTCCCTCTGTCCGCATTCCATTATTCCCCTCCTCCGTTCCGCTCCCCCGTTTCCATCCAGCGCCGCCTTGGGCATGTGACGGCGCACGGCACATGTCAAACCCCGCTGCTGCGCAACGGACACCTAACCCAGCGGATCCTTGCATAAATGGCACGCGCAGACCAAGTCCACAGGGGTTGAGGAAGAGGAGCAAGAGGAGGAGCAAGAGGGGGAGGAGGAGGAGGAGGAGGAGGAGGCTGAGGCGACTTGAAGAGTAGGAGGAGGAGGAGGAGAAGAGGAGCAGGAGCAGGAGGAGCAGGAGGAGGAGAAGGAGGCAGAGAGGAGGAGGAGGAGGAGGAGGAGGAGGGAAACGACCTCACGTAGCCATTGTGGCTCGAGCCGTTTGGGCTCAAGGTATCGCCGTTGTGGGACCCACGTCCAAGGGACCGCCTAGACGCACTGTTCTTCCCAGGGGAATCGCGCACCCCACGTCAAACCGCACTGCCAGAGCACTGGCCCCGCAAGCCCCGTCCGTTTCTCTTGGATGCCGCGCAATGGCCCCAAGTCTCCCCATGCAGTGGGTTTGTGGTTCTTGCGGCAACAAGTGGAATTCCTTTGGGCAAAATCATGCCAGCGGAAGGTGGTCCGCGCAGCCTTCAACCCCTAATTCTTCCCTTCGGCTTGATCCCGCCCCCGAGGGAAAGGACAGGCAGGTGATTCCGCCCTCAACTTCAACCGCCAGTCGGTCAAGGGCTACAAGGTTGGAGGGGACGGGCAGTGGCAAGGAGCCCAAGGAAATAATGAAGGATACAAAGGAAAAGGAGGAGGAAAGAGCGGCAGGGGCAAAGGAGTCGAAGTGGTGGAGAGGCGCAGGAGGGATGGAGGAGGAGGAGGAGGAGGAGGAGGAGGAGGAGGAGGAGGAGGAGGTGATCATCGAGGAGGCGCGGCAGCAGGAGCAGCAGCAGTTCGTAAAGGACCCACTCCACAGCCTTCACCAAGTGGCGCAGAACAAGAGATCCAAACATAACGATTTACCACAAGAGTGCGTGGAGCAGTTGGAAAATATCTTCGCAGCAGCCCAAGCCCGCAAGTGGGGGCAAACTGGGAGCAAACCCCTCCAAGCAAACAGCTCCAACAACAAGCACAAGCTATCCGCAGAGGGGAGCTGCAGCTCCAGGCGACCCAAGATGAGTTTGATGAAACAGAACTACTCGTTGAGCCCCTATCAGCGCACTAGCTGGAAGTATTTGATAAAGCGAATCAGCTGGAGCAGGACCTCACTAAGATGCGTGACGAGACGGCAGCTCGCGCCGCTGACAGGCTCAACTCCTCGGCCGGGCTCAAACACAAGCTGTCTGTATGGGAGGAAGTCATTGCGTCCCGCCCCATTAAAGACGAGCTCCTACAGGCGCACGACGCAGAGTTTTCGGCAACAGCATCTGGATCAGGAGGCATGGATTTGGACAGCGAGGGAAATAAGGTAGAGGGACCAGCAGCGTCAGCAGCAGCAGTGCCAGTGCCAGTTGACGGAGCAGAACCCAGAGCATGGTATGACAAATGCTTGGTTGAACTGGATGAGGAGAGCGGTTGCTCCTTCCGTTCGAAGCGTGCCAGCAGCCAAGTGGACGTCGAAGGCCTCTTGGAAAAGCTCAGGGGCACAAAGGTCGTCGCCGAGGTATCTCCCCATGGTATCGGAGATGGCCCCCAAGCAGCGGTCGCCAACATCTCAGACGCGCTCAAGAGAGTGAAGGGCATGAGCGAGGGCAAAGGAGGGTCGTCGTCGTCGTCGGCAGGATCAGGCGGAGACCCACCTCATGCGAAGCATGCCAGTGCCACGTGGAAGCGCCCGAGGAACATCCAGCAAACATCCTCAGGACCTGGTCATCAGCAGCGTGAGTGTAAACTCGTGGGCCACAGGGGCAGATTTGCTTCCTCAAATAACCTCGGACATCATCTTCGTCCAGGAGCACAGGTTTCGCAGTTTCAAGTATAAGCAGGACGTCGAAAAATAGAACACAGAGGCAGACAAACAAACAAACAATCGGAACACAGAGAGAAATAGAGAGAGAGAGAGAGAAAGGGAGGAACAACCAAACAATGACGACGTGCAGGACGCAACGCATGCGGCACACAGGGCCTGGCAGGGCCCAAAAGAGAGGTTTCCAGTGGAGTATTCATACGAGTACGGGGCCATTGCCTTGTAGTCTGTCTACCTCCACGCAGGGAAAGGTCTAGACGAAAGCAACGAGGAAATCCTGAGACATACCGGGCTCGACATTGCCCGACGCGGACACCCCTCCCTGGTAGGGGGGGGGATTTTCACATTGGCGTGGGCATGTTTGCCGAACGTGTTGACTTAAGGCCACTGGATTTAAAGGCCAAGCGCCTGTCCCCACGGTCATGCACGACAGCGGGGAACTTGTTGGCAGGTCTTACTTGGGGACCTTCCTTGTCAGCGCACTGCTCGCGCGAACTCACAGATGCGTCAGTCAACCATCATGTCAAGCCCCCGCCCCCCCCCCCCCCCTGCGCAGCATTGTGGACATTGGGCTGTCAGGGGCAACGAAGGAGATCATTGCTTATGCACCTGGGGCCTACCAGTCATGCCCGACCGAAAATGTGATAGGTCCTAAATGCCAACCAGCCATGCCTGTTTAGCAAGACATCATCACGGACCTCCATCATTTCATGGCAAACGCGCCGATGCAGATGGCCGAGCATGGAGCGTAGCAAGGGGGCTCTACGCAAGTACAGCCTGGCCTGGACTTGTTGGATGCGATCTATGCCGCATGGGTGCCGAGGTGATCAAAGAAATCAGTATGAAACACAGAAGGCACCAAGTGGAAAGCAGCCAGGCGAAGCGTTGGAGGCCAAACAGGCGTCCCTGCAGCAGCTTCCACAGACTAAACATCGCGACAAAGTTATTCCCGAGCGTGCGCTTTCGTGGCTTCGCAGACGCACGCGCGAGCTATGCGGCCTATACTACCTTGTGCCGGCAGGTCCGGCACCCGCAGGATATTGCGCCAAGCTGATCGACATGCTGATCACTCGGCCCACAATGGGAGACCCTTTT